CCGCAACTCGTAAGCGACGCACTGTCGCCTAGCTCTCACCTCCGCATCCCATGCGACATCACTCACAACAGAGACATCCTCCTCCGATGCTGTCCTCATCTCTTCCAGCGGCCCCACGCCGGTCTCAGGCTCCTCCGTCCCATCTAACAGTCCTTCCTCCCAGGACGAGGAAGACGAAGAGGACCGAACACGCTCCTCCTCTCTGCTGCCCTGCATCATTGCAGACACCTCTTCGAGGATGCACACGTACTCCGTCTCCCCTTCTGCCGAAGGACAAGAAAAGGAAAATGAAAGGACAACGATCCTCTTGTTGTCGCACTCCGTAGTGTCGCTCTGCTTGCTGTTTTTTCCGCCCGAAAAATAAAAAAGGAGGGAAGAATGAGCTCCGCTGCCTCTCCCTGGGGAGGGTGCACACCCTCCCTTTGTAGTTTGCCAAGTAGGCAGCAACTGACCCAGTTGCATGCCCAAAAGAGTAACGAAACTGGGCCACCAGCCCCGTTTCTGATAGGTGGAGCGGTAGGGTCCAGGGACCCACCCGCGTCAACGGTCAACGCCCATCTTACAAGTGAATCATACAGAGCTCGCACCAAATGCTCGCTAGATGGGCGTTCTGATTCGTCCAAAGGCCAAATTATTCCCTGTCGTATCCACTTTGGTCAACGAACTTCGTTGACGACGACCCCTTGGCTCGCCGTCGCCTCGTCCGTCTGTTGGTCACGCGCCATGCCACCTTCGGCGTCAGCCACGCTCCCACACTCTGTGTTTGTTGTTGCATAGCCATGGTTTCTCTTTGCAGTAGAAAATATGATTTCATCATCTCACTTCCGTGGTTATTCGCCACGTCGCTACGCTCGTGTGGCACAGGGCTGCCGCCCCGTACCCCGCGGTTCCGGAAAAGAAGTACCTCTTTTTAAGGAATTTATCTGCACAAGCAGGGTAAAAGCATGTCTTAGGACACGCATCTTGGTGGGGCAAAGTGAGGCCAGCCACTTTGAGTGTTTTGCACATCTCGTGATAATTTTGGGAGGTTGGTGCACCACTAAGCGCACCAGATTCTATTGTTCTACTCGCGTCACGTACACGAACGCTATCTAAGCCTGTGCACCGCACCAACGCCTGCTCTGCTCTATGCCACGCACCGAATCATCACGCTGCTACCATTCCATTACCCAAGTCATATCAAAAGATCACGTCGCATCCAAGCTCCAGCTGAAAATCAAAGTCGCCACAGTCGAAAGGGAGCTCTGTCGAGAAGTCAAACTGATGTGGCCCACTCAGCACGTCGAACCAAGTCGACGAGACAGGTAGGGAAGGCGGAGCCGGCTCCTGGACACACCCAGCCAACCCAAGGCTGTAGCCGTCCGCACCGGGAGGAATATCGTCGAGGAAGAGTCCGGAGAATGGGTCCTCCGACACACTGGGGATAGTAAGCGCCTGCTGCTCATAGTCTCCACGCTCCCTGTCAGTCTCGGGACATAACGGTGTCCGCCGCCCGCGTACTCACCTGTCTGTTGGACATCCTCCCCAATCTCAGCCCGTACCTGGTCAGACTGGAACATGACAATCATGTCATCCCAATCCTTAGGCGCTACCCTGCGTCGATCAGGCGACATCCTGTGCCCTCCCTTCTTATCCTTGTTCGCGTCCATGCGTGTCCTCAGGCTCCGCCGGAGGGCCGTATCAAGGCCCTTACTGCTCCCAAAAGTGCGCGACCCGTCCCGGATGGCCGTGGCCCACCGCTGAAGAAAGACGACAGCCCGCTCGTTCCTCTCCGGCCACTTCAAGTGGCACAGTCCCTCTGCCCCCGGGATTTTCCACTGCTTATGCCGCGCGACTGCGCGTATGCGCTGCCTCTGGGCACAGACGACCAAAGCGTCAAACCGGATCCTCCCATTCTGCTCCACGACCCGATTCGCATATATAGTGCAGGTGCTGCCGAACACCTGCTGACATCGTGAAGAAAACGAGGAATAGTCCTCTTCCTCTCCCGCTCGGAACGAGACCCAGAAGACCAAACTCCGTTGTCGAGGGACAGAAATAAAATCCATAGCTCCGCTGGGTATGTCGTGGTGTCGCGGTGTCGCGGTGTCGCTTCTTCCAAGCTGCGTGTTCGATCATACGTCCCGTAAGGGAGAGCTCCAAGCCCAACCGAAGCGGGCGGCCCACCCTTATTATACACAAGCAGTGCCAAATGCACAAAGGCAAACTGCTCTTTGTCCCCCAGAGCAAGCTCCGCACCCTGCATCGGCCCCCTCGGGCCAATCAGCCCCCGGCACATGGTCTCCGACCCACTCTCCGCGTTTCGCGCTAGCCAAGTCCGGGTTCCAGTGGCCACAGCCACCGTCCCCTTCAATAGTACGACTGTTCGCCCTTCGGCTCCCAGTCTATTAGGTAAGCGGTAGGGTCAGGACCCACCCGCGTCAACGGTCAACGCCCATCTTACAAGTGAATCATACAGAGCGCCCATACAAATGGTCGCGAAGATGGGCTGTGATTCGTCCAATCGACGAAATATTCCCTGTCGTATCCACTTTGGTCAACGAACTTCGTTGACGACGACCCCTTGGCTCGCCGTCGCCTCGTCCGTCTGTTGGTCACGCGCCATGCCACCTTCGGCGTCAGCCACGCTCCCACACTCTGTGTTTGTTGTTGCATAGCCATGGTGTTTCTACTAGTAGTAACAATATGATTTCATCATTGCTCTTCGAGGTGAGCGCCAGGGTCCTGCGGACCACGGCACAGGGGGCTTCCCCCTGTAACCCCCTTCTTTCCGGAATAGAAGTACCTCTTTTTGACAGCATGCAGTCAAAGTAATAAAGGCATGCTCTAGGGCACGCATCTCTGGATTTTTGAAGCCACCACAGGTGACTGTTTGAGTCATCTCACGATATTCTCTGGTGGTTAGTACACCACTGCACACGTTAATTGTTCCACAAAAGAAAACCCTTTCACACTCGTCCCACAGCTGTTATGAGAACGCAATCGCACATCACTGGTCCCAATAGGTCCCACCGCACGATAGAGAACGCCCCGGTCTCTTACAAGAAGAGTATCTCGGATACAAAGGGTAATACCTATAACAATGCACCAGACGGACATCCATATCCTAGCAGGACTGGGAAAGCCCCAGCTACTTCTCCGCGACAGTACAATGTACCGCACCTCCCCGTGGAGTGCAGTCCAGCAGCAGAAGAGACAGGAAGAAGAACCGACCTCCCCTCCCGGTTGGCCAGTGAGACCACAAGAGCGTCCCAGCGCTCGTGAAGGGAAGACGCCTCAGCCCCCGCACGTGGCTGATCAAGACTGCCTCAGCAAATAACCACCTCCTCCCGAGGACAAGACAACCCGACACCTCCACGTCACATGTTCCGGATGTTCGGCGCATGACGGAACTGATCAAGCTCGTTAGCCTGTTACCCATAACAGAAACCGCCCCGGACGACACCACGGCAGGAACGCATACTCACCTCGCCAGAGTCGATGACAAGCATACCATCTCTCGTCACTCCCATTCCCGTACCCATGTCCCATACAGTCTGGAAACTCGGCCGCCAAGCCTCATGACTAGAAAACGCAACCGGACAGGTGCTCTGGTAGTACCACTCCATGGCTCGGCCAGCAGTAGCCTGCTTGATAACGCACGTGCATGTGCTAGGAGGACAGCCCTTCGACTGATCTCCGCCAGATGAAACAGACGTATCCGTCATCGGATCCCTAGCGTGATCGCCAGCAAGAATGCCTACCAATGGTCAGTAGCCGACGCTGTCGCAACCCGTGCCCTCACACGGTCGCCCCCACGGGCCAACAAACACTCCAACGGCCGCCGCAACGGCCGCCACACCTGCGGCCACACCTAAAGACAGGGGGGGTTCCTCCGTCCTTCCACCAAATACCGCACACTCCGCTCACTCACAGATAATCGTCCCGTCACTATCGTCCTCCGGTCTGATATAGGCGCCACAGCGCTCTCGTGAAAAATACGCGCTTTCGTGATATTCTGGGAAGCTGTTCCCCAGCTACTCTGCCTAACAGTCCAAAGCCCTCCGGCTTTTTATGGCCAGCGCCCCAGCGCCAGAAAAAACTGCAACCCCTCTGCAGTCACCCTCCAGGCCCCGCCCATCGCCTCCCCCTCGGGCCAATCAGCCCCCGGCACATGGTCTCCGACCCACTCTCCGCGTTTCGCGCTAGCCAAGTCCGGGTTCCAGTGGCCACAGCCACCGTCCCCTTCAATAGTACGACTGTTCGCCCTTCGGCTCCCAGTCTATTAGGTAAGCGGTAGGGTCAGGACCCACCCGCGTCAACGGTCAACGCCCATCTTACAAGTGAATCATACAGAGCTCGCACCAAATGCTCGCTAGATGGGCGTTCTGATTCGCTCAAATCGCGAAATATTCCCTGTCGTATCCACTTTGGTCAACGAACTTCGTTGACGACGACCCCTTGGCTCGCCGTCGCCTCGTCCGTCTGTTGGTCACGCGCCATGCCACCTTCGGCGTCAGCCACGCTCCCAGCTTCCAGCGTTGTTGTTGTTATAGCCATATGTTCTACTAGTAGTAACAGCATTCATTCTTCATGTCTCTTCGAGTTATTCGCCACGGCTGCTGCGCAGCTAGTGGCACAGGGCTGCCGCCCCGTACCCCGCGGTTCCGGAAAGGAAGTACCTCTTTTTAACATTACTAGCGGTAATCGTAGGGTAAAAGCATGCTTACACAGCACGCATGGTCCCGGGAGAAGCGAGGCACACTTGTTGGTGCCGTCGAAGGGGGTAGGAGCTTAGGGTTAGAAAAAAGGGAGCGCCCCAGCGCGACCCAGGGCCTCTAGAAAAGATACTCTCATCACTTCGTTTGTGCATGCACTCTGTTCATCTCATTCATTTCGTTTACTCATTATTTGTTCATCACTCTGTTCTTTTGTCATGTTGTTTTACTCCGTCTATCTATCTGTGTGGCCCACTGTTCTCACGACACTACTGCTGATGAAAGTCGCTCCCGCTCCCAGGTCTACCACGACCACTGCACGACAATACCTGCCTGTCGATCCCAAGACCCAGAGGCAAAGGCCTGCACATACTCCTCCGTCCAGTCCTCGCCGGGACCCAGCTGCGCCTGGTAAAAGTGCCAAAAGCCGGCACCGCCATCCGAGTAGGGCTCAAGCCCATACATCGTATCCGGGAAACGAAAGGCATCCACCACGACCGATCGAGTTTCCTCCCCGTCGTCTCTGTGACTCGTAGTCTCCACAAGAGCAAAGTATCCTCCGTCCGTACCGACATCAATGCACGCCCACACCTGCACGTGCTTCACCCAGCCTCCACTGGTCTCGACACTCAGAAGTGTCAACCGTTCGTGCCAGGGAAACACCCTGCCCTCACCAAACCGGGACAGAAACCGGTCAGTCTCCACGGCCAACCGCCGGAACTCACCCATGATCAAGGCACCCATGTGCCGATAGTCGTCCTCTGCCTCCTGGTCTCGCCGCCAGGCTCGACAGTACTGTAGCTCCTCCTCTCCCTCCCGGGAGAAGTCGAACTGTAGGTCACCACTGCAGACCACCACCGGGGTCCACCGAAGCTTCTCTGGACTTCCACACTCCAGTGAAACCAAACGGCGCCCCAACGCCTGGATCTCAAGACTCACCTCCGGCCTCAGGTCCTCCCAGTCTCCTTCCCAAGGAAACCAGCGAACCTGCAGTTCGCCCAGCGGGGAACACCCCGCCACTCTACACGGCCCAACGCCGTGACCAGCCACAGGCTGAGAGGCATCCCCTCGGTAACACAGCGCTCCTCAGCGCCACACACCAGACCGGGACTCTCCTCCCGCTCCATCAAAGACCCTCCAGGGTCCTCTGCGCAACGCATCCTCTTCAACGGGCCGTCCAGGACGGTCCCTATCCTCCGCTTCACCCCTCTCGGGGCACCGTACCGACCCTCATCGCGCTCGGTCATACGTGCACAACCCTCCGTGTACTGTTCTCGTCCCTGCTGTCGTTCCACTGTGGTTTTCTCTCCGAGGAAAAAAGAAGAGAAGAAATGTCCTGCCAGTTCATTCTTCGAGGAGGGCTCCCGCCCTCCCTTTGTACTTTCAAGGTTGGTCCAAAGTGGCCCACTTTGTCCCTTTTAGGTAACGGATTGTGGCCAGCAGGCCACATCCTCATAGGTCAAACAGGTAGGTCCGAAGGACCCACTCTGTCAACGGTCAACGCCCATCTTACAAGTGAATCATACAGAGCTCGCACCAAATGCTCGCTAGATGGGCGTTCTGATTCGTCCAAAGGCCAAATTATTCCCTGTCGTATCCACTTTGGTCAACGAACTTCGTTGACGACGACCCCTTGGCTCGCCGTCGCCTCGTCCGTCTGTTGGTCACGCGCCATGCCACCTTCGGCGTCAGCCACGCTCCCACACTCTGTGTTTGTTGTTGCATATCCATGGTTTCTCTTTGCAGTAGAAAATATGATTTCATCATTTTACTCTCGTAGTTATTCGCCACGTCGCTACGCTCGTGTGGCACAGGGCTGCCGCCCCGTACCCCGCCGATCCGGAATCTTAGCTCTCTTTTCCGACAGCATGTGGTACCAGACTATCAGCAGTCTTTAGCTGCACGCATCTTGTTGGGGCAAACGAAGCCCCTCACTGTTAGTGTTTTACAGATCTCACGATCCTTTTTGGTGTTTTCCACCACACATGTTCTCACACATTCAATCACTCTGTTCATTTGCTAGTTCTACTGGTTCGCTCGGCTCATCTGTTATCTGTTCATCGCACTGCTGCTCTAGATGCAATTCTCGACTACCGGTTCGTCCCTCCACTACTGCATTCCAAGCGGAAGAGGCTACCTCCATGTACGTGACACGCCATCCTTGCCGAACCTGCGGGAACTAGCACGCTCCCTCTCCGGCCTCCTGCACAGAACTGCGCCCAAGCGCAGACACGCCAACATACCCGTCCCGGATGACAAAACCACTCTGGTCCAACAAATCGACCAGCTGCATCACCGAGATACGCATCTCGTTCCAAAAAGCCATCAGCACACTGCTCTCCAGTCGCGCAGCAATCGTCCCCACGACAATAACTGTCATCACCAGGCTCGCCACGACCCACTGCTCTATCGTCGCATGCCTGTCCAACAGGTGGAAGAGGTCAGACGCCCTCACCGGGCCATCCACTGCACACAACTGCGCAGCCGAAAGCTGACACCCACTCCGTCCTGTGAGCTGCCGCACCCGAATCTCCTGCACCTCCGTCAGCTCGCGACTACCAGGCGCCGCCACCAACGCGGCATAATAGCCCGCGATCTCGTGAACCTCCCGGAAGGTAAACGCCGTCTCTCTTCTCCGCACAGACAATCCCGTACGAGTGCCCTCCAACGGTACCCCATAGCTACGGCACCACGACCGCACTATGGTACTGAGCTGTGCCTCCGACACATCAGGGTAGCGGGCAGAGCCCACGAGGAATCCCATCACCTTCTGCAGAAGAACAGCCAGCTCCGCACCGGCCTTCCTTGCCGTGTCCCGCTCAGAGAGCAAGGGCGCAGCCACCCTCGGCAGCGACAGCAAATACACATCTCGCTCCACCCGTCCCAGGTGTCCGACAGAGTCCCTCCGGTTCACAAACCATCCACCATGTGCCACATCAGAAATCGGCAACTCCTTGCACAGAGGGCTCCCCCTCCGGCTCCACTCCGCCAACCAGTCCTCGTGCACCAGCTTCTCCGCCGCATCTACCGCACTAAGGCGGAAAGGAAACGCCACCGGCGATGACGAGCCCCCCGGGCTCTGTGCTACACGAAACGTACTCGTCATACTCGCCCACAGCTTCTCCGTCCTGCCCGGCCGCATCTCGTCCCGATCGTCGCTCCGCTATCGTTTCCCCGGGGAAATGAAGAGGAAGAAAGAGAGATCCTCTGCTCCTTCTGGGAAGGGTGCACACCCTTCCTTTGTACTTTCCATGTGGGAGAAAGTGTGCCCACTTTCATCCCTTTTCGGTAACGGAACTGGGCCACCAGGCCCCGTTCCTATAGGTCAGCCAGTCGGGGTCCAAGGACCCACTCTGTCAACGGTCAACGCCCATCTTACAAGTGAATCATACAGAGCGCCCATACAAATGGTCGCGAAGATGGGCTGTGATTCGTCCAATCGACGAAATATTCCCTGTCGTATCCACTTTGGTCAACGAACTTCGTTGACGACGACCCCTTGGCTCGCCGTCGCCTCGTCCGTCTGTTGGTCACGCGCCATGCCACCTTCGGCGTCAGCCACGCTCCCACACTCTGTGTTTGTTGTTGCATATCCATGGTTTCTCTTTGCAGTAGAAAATATGATTTCATCATTTTACTCTCGTAGTTATTCGCCACGTCGCTACGCTCGTGTGGCACAGGGCTGCCGCCCCGTACCCCGCGGTTCCGGAAAGGAAGTACCTCTTTTTAACATTACTAGCGGTAATCGTAGGGTAAAAGCATGCTTACACAGCACGCATGGTCCCGGGAGAAGCGAGGCACACTTGTTGGTGCCGTCGAAGGGGGTAGGAGCTTAGGGTTAGAAAAAAGGGAGCGCCCCAGCGCGACCCAGGGCCTCTAGAAAAGATACTTTGGTCACTCTGTTTATCACTCATTTCATTGCATTCATTTCGTGTATTGTTCAAGTTCATTCTATTCACTGCTGTTCTACTGGTTCATACCTCCACTTCGTGTAGCTGTCCACCAGTGCACGTACCCGCTGCACCTGTCTAGACACACTGCCGACAGGAATGATCGCTCGTCCCCTCGCGCACCTAAGCAAAAAGTCCACCGCTTTACCAAGCCACGGTCTCCAGACCCTGCTTCGCTACTCTGGTTCCTCCGCACCTCCTGTGCTTCGAGCCATGCTGCCACAAGCAGACCATCCTGAAGATCATCCGAGACAGCTCACGCTGCCAAAGAAGAAGTACCTCCATGCGAAGGCCCCGCCGTGCCTTCCTACCTCTTGCCATCTACAGGCCATCAGTCATAGAGATGACTCAGCCTCACAAAGTCCTCCGCCTCCGGCTTGTGATCCGACGACACGGGGCTGTGTCTCGTCCCAGCCACCGAATAAGCATAGCAGTCAGGGAAGACGTACACCTGTACATACCGATAAGGCAAAGGGAGGCTCCGCGGCTCCCACATCACCATCTCCCTCTGGTAAAGGTAGTCCTGCAAGCCCCTCGGGCACCGATCCTCCGAAGGATTGTTCACAAAACACCCCAGGTGGTCATACTCAGGCCGGAGATAAGTAAAGGGAACCTGAGCACGCTTCAGGTGCTCCAAGATGAACGGGGTCATCTCGTACAAGACGTGGCGCCCCTGCGCCAGTGTGTCAGTTCGCTCCTCCACAATCCTCTGCTCCGTATTGTATTCCAGCTCCCGCTGATTAGGAGGCTTCCCCGGCACCTCCCAACGTGTGATCCGACTGCACTGCGACGGGTGCAGTCCAGGCAAGCGCGCCAGCGCCACAGCTGACATGTGTGGGAACAACACCACCACCGCCGGTCCCTGCGGTGTCCGTACAAACGAGGCAGGAAGCTCGCCAGCCACTCCCTCCGGGACACAACTCACATCTCCTCTCCCCGAGTAGATCTCCTCCTGAATGGGTGCGAACAGCACCCTGCCCTCCGACTCCGTCACCTGTCGTGTCATCCGCCCACTCCTCGCTCCCGCTAGCATAGGCACCGAGTGCACCGACGCCCCCGTCTTGTTCATCCTGTCTGCCGCCCTGCTGTTGTTTCTCTCCGAGGAAAAAGAGGAAGAGAAATGAAATCCTTTGCCTTCTCTTGGGAAGGGTGCACACCCTTCCTTTGTACTTTCCATGTGGGAGAAAGTGTGCCCACTTTCATCCCTTTTCGGTAACGGAACTGGGCCACCAGGCCCCGTTCCTATAGGTCAGCCAGTCGGGGTCCAAGGACCCACTCTGTCAACGGTCAACGCCCATCTTACAAGTGAATCATACAGAGCTCGCACCAAATGCTCGCTAGATGGGCGTTCTGATTCGTCCAAAGGCCAAATTATTCCCTGTCGTATCCACTTTGGTCAACGAACTTCGTTGACGACGACCCCTTGGCTCGCCGTCGCCTCGTCCGTCTGTTGGTCACGCGCCATGCCACCTCGGCGTCAGCCACGCTCCCACACTCTGTGTTTGTTGTTGCATAGCCATGGTTTCTCTCTGTGAGTAGAAAATATGATTTCATCATTTTACTCTCGTAGTTATTCGCCACGTCGCTACGCTCGTGTGGCACAGGGCTGCCGCCCCGTACCCCGCGGTTCGGAAAGGAAGTACCTCTTTTTAACATTACTAGCGGTAATCGTAGGGTAAAAGCATGCTTACACAGCACGCATGGTCCCGGGAGAAGCGAGGCACACTTGTTGGTGCCGTCGAAGGGGTAGGAGCTTAGGGTTAGAAAAAGGGAGCGCCCCAGCGCGACCCAGGG